TGGGGCTTTTCTCTATTTTTACATTTCATTTATCAAAGAAATTATTTCTTATCAAACCTAGTTGGAAGTAAATCACCTTATGGAAACTAATCAGAGACAAAATCCAAGTTTAAATGGGTTAGAGCAATTGGTAACATCAACTTTTTCAATTGGGTTGCCAACAGGAAAAAGAAGAAATTGTACCGTTTCTAGCCAACGAACAAAGTGGATGACAATCTCTTGAGAAGAAGGAAACTGGGAGATAATTAATTTCTTAATTTTCTTTTCTTTTTTTTTTTTATAAGAAACTGCACTTTCATTGAGATAAATGAATAAAAACAACAAACAAAGGACATACAAAAAGACAGCCCAGTAACAGGAAACCCCTAAAGAAACGGGCTCCAAACCAAAAGCTTACCAGATGGAGGTCTAATTTGGCGTGAGAATTATATCTTGTAATTGGAAGTTTATTGTTGAAGGCGTTCACAGTTCAATTATATCTATTTATTTATTTCTTTTCATTTTTATTTGTTTAGCCAATTCTGTATATTTATTTCACTTTCAACAATGGGGGAGAGTTACCCCTCCCCTTTCGCCTCTTCGTTTTTTCTTCGCTCCGGAAGGTCAAGATTTCAAAGAAGACTAGATTTTGTCTTGCAGGTCTTACATGATAGGGTTAATATTTTGGATCGGATTATGACTTATGAGGCACTCTTCTTTTCTGAGTGGGCCTCAACACTATTCTTTGCAGGGGAGCAGCTGAGGGTCCTGATCACCTCCTTTAGATCTACCAGTTTGCTACGTCGGTGTGGGATTGTTTGTTTCAGACTTTTGAGGTTCACCTTGCTCGCGCCAGAGGTTGTAGTTTGAGGTTCAAGGAGGCTCTCATTACCCTCAGTTGGTTGATTTCTGTGGCAGACAGGTTTCTTTGTTGTACTATGGAGATTGTGGTATGAAAGGAACCATGGGACTTTTAGAGGGGTAGAGAGATCGAGGGAGGAGGTGTGGGCCATCATTCGGTTTCATGTCTCCCTTTAGGCTTTCAATGATCAAATCCTTATGTTTGATCTTGCTTGGTTGGAGTACATTATTTTAGTTTGGATCCTTTTGTTTGGCTGATTTTTTGTATGTCCCTTTGTATTCTTTCAATTTTTTCAATGAAAGCTCAACTTCTCATAATTAATAATAATAATAAAAAAAGGAATCAGGGGAGAATTCATTTTGGGTAACATAGATCATGAGGAGATTCTTCTTTCTCTTCTCTTTTCCTTGGTTGCAAAATTCCACTACATGAATTTTGGAACTACAAACCCTTCCATTCTCATCTTTAAGCGAAACCTCAATGACAGAGAAGCCAAAGACAAGACATAACTTCTCTCCTCAACTATCTAGATCTATTTTCCATGATAAAAGCGTCTAGTGTCTGAACTCATTTCAAATCCACTTGCTACTTGCAAGTTCTTTTGATACTTGACTAACTTTACATCCATCCATTATTTGCCCACACATTTAAGCATATTTGAAAAGTTGAAGTTCATAACAAGGTTACTACAGTTGATTTGATGATCATGATGATATGAGAAGCCTTTCAAAAAGTCTCCAACCTAAATAATGCATCCTTCGTTAAAAGGCTTTAGTGGATATCGATCACCCTTTACTTTATTCTCCATTTCCTTATGTTCTTTGGAGAAATTCTTCTAAAGGTTTCATGTAAGCATATAACTACTCTCACAGGTAAACCACCTTCAGGAGCATCCTAGCTAACCAAACCTATGTTTCAATGGAAGAGAAAGAAACACTTTGCATCCAAATAATCCACAATAAGAAAAAGAAGGCAGGCACAACTCTGCTTTATCTTTCCTATGTCTCCCTCACAAAAGGGGCTAAACCTGTCTGCCAATCGTCTTGGTATTCTTGAGAAAGCCTAAAGATATGTCCTTCAGGTCAATCACCTTTATAAGCTCAGAACACAAACTTAACTGAAGCTCAAAAGGCAGCATGTCACTATAAGCATCAGTACCACCCATGTCAAAATCTGAGTGGAGGATCGGGTCTCATAACTCTTCATAGAAAAGATTTTAGCTAAATAACACCCCAGCAAGCAATATGATAACAGAAAGGAAATAGCAAGCCAATGAACCATGTTGAAGGATAGGAACCACGAACCCAGATAAACAGGCTGTATTTAACGTGTGAGAAGAGGGCAATCCATATTCCATGGCATTTTCTTCCTCATCTTTCGTGGCAGTTATTCTCCTAACAGGTGGGCAACTGGGTCTAGGAGCTGATACTACATCCTAAAAAATACAAAAGCACTCCACATGTTGGATGGAAGAGGAGAAACTCATGAGATATTAAAAAAAGAAAAACAAAAAGGACAAGGCTATTTACCTTAATGCAATTCCCTAAGTAATCACAGAAAGCCATCAAAAGGGTCATCTGCCGAGCCAATTTTCCATGCCCACTCTACATTTTCCATACAAAAGATTAGCCCATCAAAAAACTAAGCCAGGGATCAACAAATAACAATTAAAAAGAGACTTAAAGCATACCCAAAATAGCAGAGGAAGAAAAGCAGTGTAGAAGGGCACAGAAACAATGCAAGACAACCCAGAAAACAGCGCATCCAAGAACCAATTCTGATATTTCTGCACACCACAAAACCGTTACACAACAAATCCAACCACAAACGAGAACAGAAAAACGACACAATCGGTTCTCGATAATCGCAAACCTGGATTCGGAGGACGAGAGGAGCGCCATTGACGACATGTCGAGCCGCCCAAGGCTGAAGCAAGGATCTGAGCTTCTGGGTAATGTTAATGTAGGAGGCTAAACCAATCCACGAGAGGAACCCAGATAAAGCCACCGCTTGCCACGCCGCCACGCTTTCCATTTCTCCTTTTTTCTTCTTCTTCTTCCCTCCAGAAAAAGAGGGATCGAAGAAAAACGTGAGAGGAGGGAGAAAACAAGACGAAGACGCAGAAGAAACAGAGGATTGGAGGAATCAGTGGGTCCTGAAGAGCATCTGTGGGGTTAATTCGTTACATCTGAGGGAATAGGGTCGAATTTTGATTCGCCCATCTGAGTTCGTGAGAGGAGGAGATTGGATTTTTGAAAAAGGGGGAAATGGGGCGAGTGTTTCAACTGTTTCTCCCATGGCGTGGGGTTTCGTTGGGATTTTGAATGCTACCTCTTGATGCCACCACATGAAAGCTATGTTCCATGAAAGGGAAAGAATTGATAAATGCTTTGGGTCAATGGATTGATATTACCGCTTGAGCAATTAATTAATTCTTAAAATAGATGATCGGTTTGAACTCGTTCCCTCCTTCTTTACCATAGTCCTTTTGCATCAATGAACCACTCTGATTGAGTGGATGAAGATTTGAGCCTCCCATTTTTATGATTATGTGTTAATTAATCAAGTTAAACTTAAGCTTGGTTAGTTCAAAAATTTTAGGGTAGCAATCCAACCATTGACTTTAATGGTAATAGGCGTCTTTTCCACTAAACTATCATCAAATTTACAAACTACCAATGCTTGTATTTATGGAAAAGTCTAATTTTTATTTATGAATCATTTTGGTCAATTTTAAGCTCTAAATTTTTAGAAATAGGTTTAATAAATATCTCCACTAACGGAATTATAGAGACCGAAAGTAAACTTAGCTTTTGACATAGCAAAAATATATATTTTGCATTTTTTTTTTTGTTGATGTCTCTTCTCTCCACCTTCTTTGGAATAGGGGTGTAAATCAGTGGGTCGATGTTGGGTTTTTGCCAAAACTGACACCGACCATCGACCCTTTGGTTGTCGATTGGTCGATGATATTTTTTTTCTCTTCTTACAAATTGACCAACCACTGTTGGTTTCGAGCAATTAGTTTGGTCGGTTTATGTCTATCTCTATAGTCCCTCCCATGGCCTTTACTCAAAAGAAAAAAAATACCATTATTGATGCAAATATTGCACCATAGAGGTTGATGTTGACTTACAAAACAAAGAATACTGATATATATATTAATAATTTGGTCGTGGACTCCAAAAAACATCGTCGATCATCGAGGCTTTGTCTTTTCATGGATCTCGAACCAATATAGGTTGTCTCGAATCCTGCTACTTTAATCTATTCATAATGAGAGATAAGTTTTGATGCATTCCTTCAACTCTCTCTTTCAGAGCAGCAAACTTGCTTCCTTGTTGTTCTCGTTCCCGAACATGTTGTTCCTTTCGTTCTAAAACTTGTTGACTCAGTTCACCTAGAACTTCTTCAGTCTCGATTCACCCTCTTTCTCGGATGACAATCGTCGTTTGAGCCCTCCCTCTCATCTCGTTGATGGCTCTCACCAGAATTCTTGAGGGATAGAATAGTAGTTACCATAACAAATATGGATTTATAAAATTGTGAACTAAACATGAGTTTGACTTAACTAACTCTATACCGTTTTAAAAAGAGGGAACCAAACATCTCTTAAAAGTTTTTCTTGGTCCCACCTGGTCGAGTGAACACCCCTAGTCACACAGTTACAATTTAGGTTTTTACTCAGTAATATATTCACGTATCTAAAAATATTAATAAAACAATAATTGAGTTAAACTTTCTAGACTTGAGTAACAAAATTTGTAGATTTAATATTTTTTAAAAAAGATAAGTAATAGTTTTATGTATTTATCCTAATTTTCTTTTTCTTTCCTAATATGAAAGTTCTTGCAATACATATTCTGTTAATTTATTATTTGACATATTTGTTTTTGAAAATAATTTTTAGATTATGTAATTGACCATTCTAAAACAATATTTTTATATCTTTATATTTTCATATTTTAAATATTGAATTTTTTAAATATAGAATTATGTAATAACTTTCATAATTATAACCCATCATTTTTTAAAAAAACTAAAACATTTCAAATATAAAATATTATAAATTATATAATTATTGTAAAATAATAATTATACAAAATTTATAAATTAACAAATAATATTTGAGAACGAACTAAATATTTAATTAGTTAATAACTATACTACTTTTACAAATATATTACTGAACATATTTAAACATAATATATTACTAAACATATTTAAACAAATTTTAAATTTGAGATTTAATTTTCAAATCAACTATCAAACTCATATGAAAATGGTTAAAATGCGAATACGAGTATGTTTTTTTGGGTTGAATCCAACCAAACACACCCGTTCCTACGTCCCATCCTATTAATGATTCCTAAGGTATATCTATTAAATTTTATATTTTAAAAATCACAAACAATAGACTTTAGAATGTGTTTAGGAGTTTGCTAGAATTACTGTGATTTTGAAAAATCACTTATATCTAGATCTCTTTATTCAAAATCACTCCTTCTATCCCAACTCTCTTAATTTAGAAAATATATTATCATTATGTTAAAAAATAAAAGATAAAATCGAGAAAATGTTGAAATTATTTCAAAGAATTTCCATAAACAAAGCGGGAAGTAGAAAAGAACAAGAAATGTTGAACATAAAATTTAGGGTAACATATATTTTAGTCCTTAAATTTTTAGCTAGGTGTAAATTTGGTTGTTCAAAAAACGATACTTTAGCCCCTGAGTCAATTTTTAGATGCGGTGATAATTTTTATTAATTTAGGTTTAGTTGACTTTTATTATTATTATTTTTTAATTTTAAATCGACGCCTTAGATGGTATGTTATTTTTCCGTTAGTCAAGCCAAAAATTTAATTAAATTGAATTATCTCAAATTTCTCCTAATTGGAACGTGAAAGTTGTGCGATCATGTGTTTCAGTTGTCGTCCCCTTTCCGCCTTTCCGCCGCCGCTTCCACCGCCGATGCTCGACACGTCACCTCCGCCGTCCTTTACGTGCGTACTTCTATGTGTCTGGTCTATCAGTGGATACCAATTTTAGAACAATAGCAATTTTTTATTCAATTTTGATTTGGAAATGTAAAATTGTTATGCGGCAATTGTTTTAGGGTTGGTTTGGTTGGTGACCAGAAAACAATATCTCAAAATAATGAATATAATAAAAGACAAAATTGTATTTTTCGATTTCAGTATTTTCAAATATATTTTTAGTAGCAAATTTAAAAATTGAATTTCAAGTTAAAAATTGTATTTAGAAATATATTTATAAACTAATAGTAGTTACTAGTTTAATTTACAATAATATCAATTAATTTATTTAAATTTTGTATAATTATTATTTTACAATTGCATATAATCTATAATATATTATATTTTAATTTTAACGAAAATAAAATGAGTTTATAACATGAAATAATATATTTATAAAAGTTTTTACCTTTTTTTAATATAATTCTACATTTTAAAGTTTCAAATTTAGAATTTGAAAACATTGCCATCGGAATGAGAATGAATCAGAAATGAAAATCAATCGGAATGTGAATGTTATTCCTTCGATGCTGTTTACCAAAAATTTTATGGAATCGAAATTAAAACTAATTTGATGTTGTTTACTAAAACTGAAATTGAAATCGAAATAAGATATATAACAATTACTAGTATACCCCTTTATTCTTTCTAGTTAATTACAAATACATTGTCGTGCTAATTTTTTTAATTACAATAATAATTGATTTTATTACTATATTATTGATAATAAATATTTTTTTACCATAACAAATTATTTAATACTAATATTAACAAATAATATAAATTTATGATATTTTATAATGAAATTACATCCACTAATAAAAGTTATATAAATTTTTACTGAAAGAAAAATTATTAGTAGTATAAATGAAAACGAAATAAAAAAGTATAAAACAATTAAATAAAAAATTATGGGTCTCATTAATCATTAAGCATGGGAGAGAAAGAGTAAAAGTAGAAAAGTAATAGTAATAAATATGTAGGCCCACGAAATAAGGAATGAGAATAAGATTGATGGAGGTGTAGGAGAAGAATGAGATTGCCTATTTTAGAAAATGAGAATGAAAAAAGCGGGTGAGTCCACCCTTTGATTCTCATTCCGAATGAAAAAATTAATTCTAACTTTAAAATGTTAATTTAAAAACACGATGGTCAACCAAATAGGTCGTTGATTGGTCATCAAATTGCATGTTCCAACGCAGTGTTTTAATTTGTTTAATTGGGTCCAAATTTATTCAAAAGTTTATAAGAGTCTTATTAAATCCTATTCGACCCTCTGAAACAAAATTTGGGGAATAATGAAATCTTGATCTTTTCAGTTTTCCTAAATCTCTCTCTTAATCTTGCTCTCGCTCTAGCTCCTGCTCCTCGCTCTTACTCTTTATCTTATCCTGCTCCCCGCTCTCCCTCTTTCTCTCTCTCTCGCTCACCTTCTCTCTTACCCTCCCTCTCTTATGACACGTAAAGTGGTGTAGCGAGAGATACTCATTTTGTAGTAAGCACAATTACATCAATGAGCAGATCCATTGTGTCGTTCACTAGAGGACGTATCCTTCCAACGACTTGCGGTGTATACCTTAACAATGGCAAGCAACAAGCAACAGTAGACCAAGTCCTAGAAGAAAGAATAGTAATTTGAAGAAGGGTAAAAGTCATAGTTTCCCTCGCAAAGACAAGCATGTATAGAATACTTTTGTTCTAAAAAATTGGGCACAAATCTTGTGTGCCAAAAAAGACTATCCATGCTCATTTCCCCACCAATAAGTATTATTTCACATCTTTTAAATGATCAAGGGTAAAAGAATTTAAACTAATTCCTCATGTTTAACTCTCTTCTGTCGGTAAAAATATATAAATAATAAATAAAATAAAGAGTTCACTCTAGCGGCAAGACAGTTTTTTTTCAGTGAAAAAATGATTTTTCTTACCTATGAAAACTCAAGTTTTCTACATTTTTACCTATGTTACACATCACATGTTACATTTTTTTTCTTTGGTTTCTCTCTATTCTTATCTCTTCCCACAACTCTAAAAAGAATTCCATCTCTCATCTTCTCTTTCTTCCCATTCTTCATTTTCTTCTCTCTCCCTCCGTCCTCAATTTTTTTCCATGAAAATGCTAAAACGTTAAGATTGGTGGAACCAAAACGACGTCAGAACGAGCTAGGGATGATTTGGGATCAAGTCGGGTCGCATCAGGATCGAAGTGGGGATGAAAACAGAGAAGTTGAGAGCTACAGGCCACACGGGCCAAGAAGGCAGGGCCGTGGCGCTGTCCAGATGAGGGTGCGCGCAGTTGCACCTTTGTGCTCTGCCCGTAGTGTCATGGTGCTGTGTCGATGCTTATATATTCGTGTTCTCGAGATTTAGGGTTTTCCCAGTCGAAATTGGAGTCGTTTCAGCCGATTTTCAGAGGGTTTTGG